ATTTTTTATAATATTCGAATGCCTTCTTTTCGTCCTTTTCGACTCCGATTCCATTGAAATAGCAATTTCCAACATTAATCATTCCATTACTATTACCCATTTCTGCAGTTTTTTTACAATATTCGAATGCCTCCTTTTCATCCTTTTCGATTCCGATTCCATTTCTATAGCAATTTCAATATTATATACGGTATTTTTCATCGATATAAAGTCTAATCCATTATAAATGTCTTTGACATATTTTAAAACAGTTTCATTATTAGGTTCAATTTTAAGCGCTTTTCTGAAGTCTTCAAGAGCCTCTTTATATTTTTTTAGACAGCAATAAGCTGAACCACGAAGAGTTAATATAGGAACAAAATCTGGCTCAATTTTCAATGCTTCGCTAGAATAAGAGAGAACTCTACCGTACTGTTCTAGTTCAAAATAGATTTTACCACTATAAAATAATGCAGCTACACTTTCTGGTAAAATTTTTAGTGTTTTTTCAAAGTCTAAACCTGTATTATAATAATCTTCAAAGTTTAAATAAGCTTCTCCACGGAGAACTAACATATCTGTATTATTTGGCTCAAATTTTAATGCGTCGTAAAAATCCAAAAATGCTTCATGAAGATGATTGAGGCAATAAAAAATTTCTCCACGTAAAAAAAGTGAAGTAGCATTATTATGTTCCGCTTCCAAACTCTTATTCAAATCTCTGATTGCATTATAATACTGATCCAGATAAAAATAGACACCTCCACGAAGTGTTAGTATAGTTTTATTTTTGGGATTGATTTCTAAAACCTTATTTAGAAATTGGATAGTTTCTTCGTACCGCTGTAAATTAAAGCATATTTTCGCTTGAAGTGTCAGTGCATTTGCATATTTTGATTTGATTTCTAAAGACATTCTAGAACTATATAAAACGTCATTATATTACTTTAATACTTTTTTAAGGTCATTAAAGGCTTTATTATATGGCCAAGTTTAAAATATGCTTCTCCACGATAAAGTAATGTAGTCACATCAAGTGGATTAATCTCCAATGCTTCGTTTAAATTCAAGAATGCCTTATAAAATTGTCCTAATGAATAATAGCTTTTCCACAAAATGATAACGCAGTTAAATTATAAGGATCAATTTCTAATACTTTGTTATAATATAAAAGGGCTTTATCATATTGTTCTAGTGAAAAAGCTGATTCTCCATGGAACATTAATGTATTTATAAATTTTTGTAGAGCGTTATTAGTGTTAAATCCTGATAAAATCTTTAAGTCTAAAAATGCATTGCCATATTGTTGAAATTTCAAGTAAATCTCTCCACGAAGAGCCAATACATATGTATTACTCGAATTTATCTCTAATGCTTTATTGAAATCTACAAGTGCTTCATTATATTTTTCTAACATAAAGTACGTTTCTCCTCGCAAAATAAATGAACTTGTGTTAGCTGGGTCGATTTTTAATGCTCTATTTGCATCAGCAAGTGCACTTTCATATTTTCCTAATTTAGAATATGCTATTCCACGAAGAATTAATGCATTCAAATTGTTGAAATTGATTTCTAAACTACAATTAAATTGTTCAAGTGAATCAACATATAGGCCCAAATTCAAATAAGAAAACCCAAGGGTAATTTCATTTTCATGTGCATTATTAATAGAATTAAAGATATTATATTTGTCAATGTAGAAAGTCATTTATTAAATGACTTATGTTTACGTATGGTGTTAAAAATGCTAAAAATTTTGACCTTTTTATCTAGAAAATTGTTGACTTATTTGATAAAATTAAAATTATTTGTAATCATACGCCAAAAAATGATTATCTTAAAGATCTTATTATCATATAAAATTTACGATTCTTAATAATGTGATAGGGTGTTACAATATCTTAAATTATCTTTCTGAATAATCAACAGTATCAAAAGTCTGTCTATTTAGAGTCCGCTACTGTGCAAAAGTGAATCTTTATTATATTTGGTCTAAAACTCGCATCTGCATGTACTGCACAGTACGTTTCATTATTTTTGCTCGTCGTGTGCCCTTCATCGTACACAACAACCTTTTTATGCCTACAATCACGTACTTTTATGCATGGTGTAAGGGTCGAATTTGGCGCAGCATAACCCGAATTTGGGATGTGCAATATATATATATATTTATTTTATTATTACCAGTCAGGAATATGTCACACCTGTTGATATATGAGTGTTATTTCATAATAAAATTATAATAAAAACATATAAATTTACTATAAACTTTAAGCAAAACATCCTTTTCGGTTTACATAATAACTTTTTTTCAAATTTTGGAAATAAGCATATCGAGGATAGTAGATTAAGGTTATTTAGAACACTTTTTTAAAATTTTGCAAATTTAACAAATTTTATTAATAAAATTTAGCAAAATTAACAAATTTTACTAATAAAATTTTACAAATTTAGCAAATTTTTTTAATAAAATTTGCTAAATTTGCTAAATTTTATTAATAAAATTTGTTAAATTTGCTAAATTTTATTAATAAAATTTGTTAAATTTGCTAAATTTTAAAAAAGTGCTCTAAATAACCTTAATCTACTATCCTCGATGATTTTGGGTCAAAATCCCGAACAATGGATCCCCGAAAGAACGTAATACTGACAAAGTTAGCCGGCACTAGTCATAATGCTGGCCAATTTAATCGGTATTATGTTCTTTCGATAATCCGTTGTTCGGGATTTTGACCCAAAATCATCCTCGATATGCTTAATCCCAAAATTTGAAAAAAAGTTAATATGTAAACCGAAAAGGATGTTTTTCTTAAAGTTTATAGTAAATTTATATGTTTTTTTATAATTTTTACTATGATTTATCACTCAGTGTGACATGCACCCTAACTGTTACCGTTACGTAGTATTTTTCTATTTTTGTACATTCTATTATTAGTGTATCTTTCCTATTTTCAGTTATCCTGTCTGGATTACCATTTATGGTCGAAATCGACTCCATGGAATCGATGGAATCCATTTCGTCGATTTTTAGTCTGTAAAACTTTAGTATTTAAGAGCCTTGAGCTCACCTTCAATAAAATATAACTGAGAGTCAATAAAACTCAGAGTCGGTATAACTCGACTCATAGAGTCTAATTTCAAAACCCTAAACGTTTCGCTCCAATAACCCCCGATTACTCAAATTCACATAGAGTTAGTAGTTTAACCTCGAAATTCCGAATTAGAGCTTCGTGACCAGTGTTGGGTTGGACATTGGACATGTCCAATGTCCAGTCCAGTCCAGTTCAATCCATTGGTTGGACATTGGACATTGTGTAACATTAGATTAGTATATAGTCATGTGATAATTAACCAATCATATAATATTTTTATATTATAATATTTATATTATAATATTTATAATTAATATATGCCGATAGATATAAAGTTTAAGTGTATTTGCATTATTCAATGCAGGTGTATTATTTTGATCGTAATACATGTCAATTAGTCTTCAGAGCTCATAGACAGAAGTTTGTCTGATTGGCTAGTTTTTTAGATCGATTTGTAAATCTACACGTGATTATTACCCAATCAAATTGCACAATTTTATTCGTTATTTTACAATATTACAGTACT